GCGTGTGTGCGTGTGTGCGTGTGTGCGTGTGTGTGTGTGGGCGTGTGCGCGGGTGCGCGGGTGCGCGTGTGGGCGTGTGTGCGTGTGGGCGTGTGCGCGGGTGCGCGGGTGCGCGGGTGCGCGGGTGCGCGGGTGCGCGGGTGCGCGGGTGCGCGGGTGTGTGGGTGTGTGGGTGTGTGGGTGTGTGGGTGTGTGGGTGTGTGGGTGTGTGGGCGTGTGGGTGTGTGTGTGGGTGTGTATGGGTGTATGGGTGTGTGTGTGTGTGTGTGTGTGCGTGCGTGCGTGCGTGTGTGTGTGTGTGACTGTAGATGCACCCGCGTGCGTGTGCGTTCCGGCGCCTCCGTGTTTTTGTGCCTCTGCGTCGCTGCGCCCGTGTGTCCTTGACATTCTCTGTGCATGCGTGTGTGTGTGTGTGTGTGTGTGTGTGTGTGTGTGTGTGTGTGTGTGTGTGTGTGTGTGTGTGTGTGTGTATGGGTGGGTGTCTCTGTGTGTGGGTGTTGCCTGGGGTTCGTTCGTCCGTTTGTTCGTGTGGTTGTGTGTTTATGCGTGCGATTTTTGTTAGATTGGTTTGATGTTATTTCATTTGTTTGTATGGTTGGTTGGTTGGTTGGTCGGCTGGTTGTTCATGCGTGTGTGTGTGTGTGTGTGTGTGTGTGTGGCGTGTGTGTGTGTGTGGTGTGTGTGTGCTGCGTGAGGTGCGGTGTGTGTGTGTGATTGTGTGGTGTGGGTGGGATTGCGTGGGTGCGTGTGTGTGTGTGTGTGTGTGTGTGTGGGTGGGTGGGTGCGTGCGTGCGTGCGTGCACGCGCTCGCTCGCGCGCGCGCGCGCGCGCGCGCGCGTGCGCGTGCGCGCATATGCGCATGATCACGCACGTGCGCGTGTGCGTGTGCCTGCGTGTCCGTGTGCCTGTGTGCCTGTGTGTCTGTGTGTGTCTGTGTGTCCGTGTGTCTGTGTGCCTGTGTGTGTGTGTGGGTGTTTGTTGTGTAGTTGTTTGTGCGTTTGTTTGTTTGTGGTTTTGTTTGTGTCTTTGTTTGTTTGCTCGCTGCTTGTGTTTGCTTGCTTGATTGCTTGCTTGCTTATTTGTTTGTTTGCTTGTCTGCTTGCTTGTATGCTTGATTGCTTGTGTTTGTTTTTGTTTGTTTGCTTTCTTGCTTGGTGTGGTTGCTTTTGGTTGTTTTTGTTTGTGCTTGGTTGTTTCTAGTTTTTGCTTCTTTCTGTTTATGCTTCTGTTTGTGTTTATGTTTATTGTTATGCTCATGTTTATGCTTATGCTTTTGTTCTTGTTTCTGCTTCTGTTTTTGTTTGTTGGTTTTTTGTTTGCTTGCTTAGTTGCTTGTTTGTGTTTTTTTTGGGTTGGTTGTTTGCTTGCTTGCTGACTTGCTTGCTTACGTGCTTGTGTGTGTGTGTGTGTGTCTTCGTGTCTGTCTCTGTGTCTTTGCTCCTTTTGTTTGCGTGTGTGTGTGTGTGTGTGTGTCTTCGTGTTTGTGGTCGTGTTGATGTGCGTCTTCGTGTCTTTGTGATTGGGGTCCTTCGTGCGCTGCCCACGGAGCACACAGCGCACACGAACACGCCGCTGCCAAGCTGCCCAAAGAGAGCCAAAGCGCGGAGTTGTCCTGAAGGGAACATGTCCTACAGATGCTAGTGATCTGCTCATAAGAACTATGGGGCGCACCCTGAAGAGGGCACCCTGGCAAACGGCCAGCCTGGAGTCGGCACATCTGCAAGAAGAGGGCACAATCCAATAATTCAATACGCACTCAGAGGAGGCGGCAGGCCCAGCGTGCTGAAGAGCACCGTGAAGCTCGCGGCAGACCGCGGCTGCCCTGACCCCAACCACCCATCTGATGCAGTTCACAACATTTGAAAACGTTCGGCTCCCCCTCACTTGCGTAGGCGTATAGCAAGCAATACCACTTCCCTTGCAGGCCTAGCTGGACAGAGGCCAGGTACAGGCAGAAATTGTACCTAACGTGACAGCTGTTGCCGTCCGTGGTAGATGCTGTAGATGCAACTCACAACATGACTCATAGAGATTTCTACACATTTCTGGATTGAGCCACTCGGCTCCGATATCCAGAGCTATGAAGATCAGGCCGGGGATCGTAAGAAATATCGTTGGAAGCACCTCCAACAGTACGTCACGGTGCTCACACAATCGAAGAAAGTTAGCGTACATCTGCTCCGAAAGAACCCCGGCTTCGCCGCAAATTCCTTGCTCTTGTATCCTTCTTGCTCAACTTCCCGGTTGCGATATCGGTGCATCTACACTCATTCCTTCGAGACCCTGGGCACATCCGTGATGATGCTGGGACCGCTGTTCACACAAGGCGTCCGCTCTGACAAACAAAGCTTGATGTACCTTTCAGGGGCGTGCCAGGAGCAGACTTTAAACTGTAAACACTTCGAAACAACGATTGTTGCAAGCCCTGTTGGGAGCACGGCGCACGGGCATGACGCACACCAGGCAGCCACCAGCAGAACAACGCCTGAGAGGCTGAGAGGCCCTGACATCGAGGCACTTTACCGTCTGTGTTTTTCAAGGTCCAAGATGCAAAGCGAATGTCCGATCCATGCAGGAAGAAAGATCAGCCGCCAGTCGACCTGGGTGGCAGCTTTTTTTGCGGGCTGTCTCTGGAGGGTGCGACTTGGTTGGCACCTTCGGCATGCCGCAAGAAACTGAGAGAATCCTCCTGAGCGCCTGACATTGCCAGTCTCGATCTGCTCCCAAGAAGCCTATAGGCACAGCATGATGGCTTAACGTGGTCTGCCAAGCTCGGACAGTGAGCAGCGGGCAGAGACAGAGATGACGACCAGGCCGTGCGCCAGCAAGAAGACAAAGCGCGCGGCCACGCAGCACAGGTTTGCTCGCCAAGCAGTTCTCTCCTAGAGCCAGGGCAGTCCAAGCGGATGAGCAAAGGCTCCAACGCAGCGAATAAACGCTCTGGCCATACAAGCTCTAAACGTCTCTACACACTCAAGCTCGTGTGTCAGAGTCTGGCACTGGCATGCCAGATTTTTTTGCACAGCGCTTAATATTACAAAGTTGCTTGGACCTGAAGGCGCCCATCATGAAACCATTCTTGTCCAAAAAGCCGTGTCTCCAACTTGTTGTTCTCATGATTTCTCATGTTCCCCTATTCATCTGTGTTCCTGAAGTTTGAAGTTGGGTTCTTGGGGAGCACTCTTGGAGCCTTGGGCTGCCCACAACGCCATGAGGCCATGTAGCCAAAGCACCACGCTCTTGTTCCAAAGCCTCCAATACCCCATCCCTCCCTGCAGTCACCCCTCTTTCAGGAGGTCATGAAGCCTTTGCGCGGCATGAACCCAGCCTGTCTAGCAGAGAGCTCTCGGCCGAGCAGACCACGCTCCTTAGTCACACAGGACAGTGTCGCCGCGCATGTCAATGTACGGCGTCTTCTTGACTCCACCCAGGCACACTGTCCAAAAAGTTCACTGCCGAAGAGGACGCTGGCATGACCCATGTACTTTTCTTCCATTGGCGTAGAAATATATAGACTCTAACCTGACCAGTGTGCTCTTTCTGACTGTTCGTTACATTTGGGTGTCTTGCGCAACAAAGGCTTTGTTGACTCATTCTGTGTGCAATTGCATGCAAGATGGCAGGACAGATCACAACCCATCACAACATTTCAACGCCACAAGCTTCCAACAGTTGCCAGCATACCATGGCTTGTCTGATCTGATCCGCAGTTCTGCAGATGGCTCGAGCACCAACCATTCTGAAGTGCCAGACTGACAAGACCGCAATCAGATCAACACTGTCATAGCATGCATGGCAAGACGCCGCCAACTCCTGCCAGCAAAGCAATTTTGTCCGGTCTCTTCGATACCAGTCTGGCGCTTCTGCGACCCACCCTGTCCGATTGGAGATCCGATAGCATGTGCACAAGTGTACAAAAGTGCACACGTGTACACACCCAACGACGAAACAAGATTGCATCTGGTGGCGCTCGGAGACTTCTGAGTCTGGGATTCTGCGGCGCCTTGAGTTGAAGAAGCTCAACCTCCATCTGCTGCAAATATGTCCTTGGGCTCTTAACCACCTCTGTCGTTGCAAGCTTCAACTGCGTCAGCCTTAAAGTCGCGTGACTGAGGCCCAAGCTGCTGCTGTCGAAGGGAATGGGCCTGCACGCTGCACAGATGCATCGGAACTGGATCGGGATTGCAGCAGATGTGGCTCATGCAGGGTATCATTCAAGCGTCTTTAATAACGAATTGACGCTGAGGCCAAGAACCCAGTCCATGTCAACACTTTGCTGTCCGAGTCTTTGTCGAATCTCCTGCAGATGAGATTGGGGTTTGGAGCAGAACATCAGCGCCAAAAAAAACATCAGCACATCCTCCGCAGGGGTTGTGCCGTCACTTTGCGGCACGGCCTCCAAGCGGCCTGCACTAGGCATTGCAGAAGCCAGCTTGCAACACTTGCGTAGCGTGCAAAACTCCACGCCCTAAACCTTAAAGCCCTTGGCCCGAACCTCAGGCCTCAAAACCCTGAAAACACTCTCAGCCCTTTAACCTGTAAAGCCAGCTGGGCTGGTATACAGGGGGTCCAAATCGCCGGTGTGTCGGAAGGATGGTAGGAAAGCCGAAATCGGGAATCGTGCTTGAATCGTGCGCGCGCGCGTAAAATCGGCGAGCACAAAAGCGGCAATGCTTGAATCGCACGTGCTTGAACCGGTGCGATGCTCGAATCGCGGGTGCTTGAATCGCGCCGTGCTTGAATCGAAGCTTTGCGCGTCCGTCCGAGGCAGGTCACCCAGCTTTCATATTTCGCTGTCTGTAGAAGTTATCCAAGACTGCCTCGGCCTGGGCCTAAGCTGCCAGCTCTGCTTCTGATGTTTCTGTTCGGAAAAGTGAGCCATTTTACCGAGCTCCAAAGAACGGCAACGACAGCAAACACAATTCTACACATTCGACCCGGCAAGATGCTACCTCCGTCACTGTCACCCAGCTCCTGAAACTGCAGAAGAAGCCGCTGCCTTGGACTTCCAAGTACCGCTTCAGCTGCACAATCTGCAAAAGACTTCTCCATCAGCATCAAGGAACCCATGAAACCACCATGCCACCATGGGCCACCGAGACTGAGTATTCTAAGCATCCTGCTGTTGCTGGCAGCTTTCTTCTACCTTTCTTTCCAAGTCCTGCTGACCTCGTACAGGCGAAAATCATGTGGTGTCGGGACACATTTCAGACATTTCAGTCACATCGCGATTACGAAGTTAAGGTTCCGACGTTGGCGGATCGCTGAAACAGCTTGTTGGGCTTGGTAGTACCTGTCATTGCGCTCATTCATCGTGTGACGTGGCGCCCAGAGATTCAATGTGAAGGATGTGCACCCTTTTTCTACCGACCCGAGACCCTTTCGCCTTTCTGACAAGATGAGGTCACATGTTACCCAGTACAATTTATCTAGACAACCTTGCTTCTGGCAGTTTGCAAACATGCCTGCTGTCAGCTACTATCTGTGGTAATGCGTCGTGTTTAGGGAGTTCAGGGCCGTCTGAGATTCAAGGTTTTTGCACGAATGCAGAGTGAGCTATCAGACCAAACAATTCTAGAAGGGGCGGCAGCAAAAAACAATAAAAAGAGAGAGCGTGTATGACTTCAAATGTCAGTGTGCAACATATGGGAATCCTGCCCACAATCGTGCTTTCTGGGTTTCCAATAGGACATGATAGGATTCCTACAGTCCTACAAGGTCTTTGTGAAATTCATCGTGAAGTTTGCTGCATGACAGTCCTCCAAAACGCAAGCGCTCTGCATCGAGGAGCACCATTTCCCGGCGTCTCATCCAGATTTCAGCTACTGTTTTGGTGTGCAGCAAGCAAGAGAGAGAGAGAGAGAGAGAGAGAGAGGAGAGAGAGAGAGAGAGCGAGAGAGCGGAGAGGGGGAGAGAGGGGAACGGGGAAAGAGTGGAAAGAGAGGAGAGAAGGGAAAGAAGGCAGAGAAGGGGAGACGAGGGGAGAGAAGGGGGGAGGAGGGGAGAGAAGGGGAGAGGAGGGGAGAGGAGGGGAGAGAGGGAAGAGAGGGAAGAGAGGGAAAAGAGGGAAGAGAGGGAAGAGAAGGAAGAGAGAGAAGAGAGTGGAGAACTCAAAAAAGCTCCAATTTAGGGACTCCCGTTGGCTACGAGGGATTCACTGAAAAACTAGCTTGAAGTGGTTAGACTGGCAAAAGGTGTCTTGCAACAGCCGCAAGGCACTAAGCATATTCAACTAGATACCTCAAACCAGAAGCGTTGCGAAGTACCTTGCGCTGCTCGCACTTTCGACTAGAACAAGTCAGCGCGGCACGCTTGGAACAGCTGGGCTTCCTTCTCTTCGCAATCCGCCTTGCGGCAAGATGCTTGCGTTTGGGAGCGGGGGAGAGAGAGAGAGAGAGAGAGAGAAAGCGAGAGAGAATCGAGCGGAAGAGGAAGAGTGATAAAACAAATCAACGGGGAAGCTCTCTAGCGCAGTGCAACCTGGGATCTGAAGTCGGCTACTTGCTGCAGTCACTCACGCAATTGCATACTTCCGCCATCTTCTGCCTCTTGGGCCTTTAGCTCCTCCTCGTCGTAATGCAGTCGCCGTTCCCGCTCAACCAGGCGACGCCGCACTGGCTCAACCTGCAAGAAGGCATGCTGCCTTTGATGAATGTCATCATCGACCATCTGGCAAGAGCACGCTGTGCTCCGAAACTGCAATGGTTCTCCATGCCATGCCATGCCATGTCCCAACCTGGGCCTCAATCTCCTCCAGAAGGCGTTTGTCTGCGTCCAACGCCCACTCCTCGCGTTCGACCTGTGGTGAGTGCTGACGGCAAGCAAGAAAAGCGTCACTGCACAAAAAAACCCGAACGCTGGCCTCATCAAGCTGCTGGACAGCCTCCTCAGTGCAGCGTCGCGGGGAAGGCCCCATGGTACGCCGGGTACGATGTGTTGTCGCAAGTGGGACAATTCAGCTGTGGCATCCTCGAACTCGAGGTGGAGCAGCTGCGCCTTGTGTGGTTCCCATCACTGCCAGAACCCATTCAACCCATTCATCATGTCACGTGTGTGTTCAAAAGTTCAAAGCAGCCCAGACGTTGCCTCCTGCTCGATCTGGTCGAACTGGCTTCGCATTCGCCCAACTTCGTCGTCAACCCGGTTTCTTGCCTCTGCGGCGTGAACATGCGTGAACCCGAAACTTCCGTCGCGTTAGACAACAACGGAAAATGGGGGGGGCACATGGGGGCACATCAATTGGCACATCAAGCACTTCCAAGGCCTCAAACAAATCCGACTCATCCTGTGCCAGTTCGCGCTCCTTTCCCTCCACCTCCAGCTAGGCAGCTAAGGCAGCTAGGCTGGAATCACTCTGCGATGGCTTGCAGTTTTTGCGCAGCCTCCATCTCCAAGTCCTTGATTTTAGCCGTCTGCTGGGCCAGCTGGTCCTGTCAGCAGAGCTGCCACCACATTCAGCACTCATGTTCAGCCCGATTTGCTTGACGACGTGCCTGGGCACATCCAAGGGCCTTGCGAGAAGTTGCAACATGCTGGAACAAAGACAGCGACCAGGAAAAAAAAACAAAAGTCTAAAAAAAGAACAGACCTCACAGCAACGGCAACGATGCAGTTTCTTGCCTTCTCTTTGCCCGCAGCAGCTTGCAGCATTTCCTCGGCCTCTGCACATGCCGCCTGCGGGGGCAATGAAATGAGACCCCGTGGACCAGCGCGGCCTCAAAAGATCTCAAAAGCAGCCGAGCTGGGCTGAGCCTCCACATCATCTCTGGACCTCCCCGCGAGTGAGGACAAGGCTAGTGCAATGCTACAACAACTAACATCAATGAACATTGGTACCCCGTGCAACTTGCAACAACCAAGTCCCTACGTTTGGACCCTAATCTCACTCTACTCAACACCAGATCAGACTCTCTCACCCAGGCCCAGGCCATCGAAGCTCCTCTTCTGCAATCTGCATACGCTCCAGGTCACAATCCAAGCCTCCGCAGAACAACGTAACATATCGCAACATGCTGCTTTCAGCTTATGTTGGTTCGGATAGGCAGTTTCAGTACAGCATGCGTATGGCTATGTACTTCTCATACGTGGAGGGCTGGGATGGGCCTGGGAAGGGTTTCGCTTCTTTGTGCTGCCGCCTGTGCAGCCCTGTGCAGGTTGCATTGTGTTGCTGACTCGCGACACAATGAGGTTTACCTCCTGAAATCTCCTGAAGAAGGCCTTCCACACAAGCCAGCAGCAAAAGCGGACACGGAGGGCTCGTTCTGAAATAAATTCCCTTTCGAGGTCCTTTTTTCTAAGATTGCAAGTATAAGGAATCCGATGAAAAGTTACCTAAACGGGCCATGAGTTGTAAAACCGTCTCCATGTGAGGTCATGCGCTCTAGTAGGCAGCCTTCCAAGCACTGGCTCATCTCCTCTTCTCTGGCTGCCACAGAGTCTGCGCGAAGCGCGAGGCTGTGACCTGAATATAGATTCCAGCCACAGGGCAACTCAAAGTAGGCACGGTTTCTCACTGCCACAAGCGTCCAACATTGTGCAGCCAAGCGCTGGCGCCTGCACTTCGGAGTCTCCCCAATGAAGCGAGATATGGTACCATGAGCTTTCATCGCACTGGGTCACCGGCTCCTCTTCCAATTGATGTGCAGATCCACACGTGCACCTGGTACCGCGACCATTGCTACAATACACGTGCTGCACCCGCTGCCACATCAGATCATCACTGCTGCCTGCTTAGGTCTTTAGGTGGTTTTGTGCTTCTACAAGTATGTGCTTTCGGTCGCACCCCGAAACAGCCACGGCCGCCAAACCATCGTCATTCGGAGGCCTGGGCCAGTGCCAAGTGGACATCTTGGCGTCTGTGTCTGCAGCACTTCTTCAATGGTGCACTCTGCAAGTACTTCGCTTCTCGCTCCACCCAGCTGAGTCCCGGCGGAGGACTTGTGGAGCTGCGGTGTCGGCGAGACATTCTTCCATTCTGCATGGGTTGACCATGGGCTGGTCAAGGATGGACTGCTGCTCGCTGCTTGCAGTCTTGGATATAGCTACATGTCAACTTTTGGCTACTGCTCTGGCTCTTCTTTAGAGTACCAGTATCTTCGGGGCAGAACAGTTGACATGTTTTTTGGTTTACCTGCTTCAGCTAGAAACATGCAGTGGCGCGTCACCAAGGCAGCGCTCCTTTCGCACAATATCCAGGTCACACAAGACCGGAGAACAAGCAACTCTTCCTCCGCATCATAACAGATCGTCAACCGCAAAGTACGTGGCACCAAGCAGATATGTACTTTCGAGCACGCTGGTTAGTTAAACTCTCAAAGGCAGGAGTCAGGGCTTTTGCTGCTAAATGTGCTCAAAATTTGGATGGTTGTGGGGCTGTGCACATGCAAAGCAGCAGCAGCAGCAGCAGGAGGAGGAGGAGGAGGAGCAGCAGGAGCAGCAGGAGCAGCAGGAGCAGCAGCAGCAGTAGCAGCAGCAGCAGCAGCAGCAGCAGGAGGAGGAGCAGGAGGAGCAGGATCAGGAGCAAAATCAAGAGCAAGAGCCAGAGCAAGAGCCAGAGCAAGAGCCAGAGCAAGAGCCAGAGCAACAACAACAACAACAACAACAACAACAACAACAACAACAACAACAACAACAACCACTGCGACAACACAAACACGGCCACAATGACAACAAAGGCATATGGCTCGTCTTGATATTTGCTCTTGCTGATGCTTTCTTGCCTCGAAATTGATGACGTTTCATTGCAAAAAACTGCGATTAAGCTGGTGCCACATGTATTTACATGGATCCACGTTTCCTATACCGTGGCATGATAAATTGGCTACCATGCTCGTCCTCGTGATGAATACATATATGCTGACTTAGCTTTAGCTTCTTGACATACCTCTGCATGAAAATGCGGCATCATGCGCTTCGACATATCTAGGTTGGATAAGCCCGACGAAGCCTTGGGGAGGTATAAGGAGTTCTCAACTTCGTTTCCACTTTGCATCACGCTTCGTAGCAAACTTCCCCCTTGTGCGGAAAACTGGGGAGCCTCTTCGGAGCTTCGAGACCCGGGCGTTGCACTGGAAGCCAGACAGTGCTAACGCTTCTTAAGAGTAAGTGAGTGGCAACACCTATAAACTTGCTCATATATCACTGAACTCATGGAACCGCGAGACAACACAGTCTACAGTCTGGATGTGGGGGTCTGCTTCTTGCAAGCGCCTCCGCTCAGCATTTGCAGTTGCACCTGCACTTATTTTCCACCGGCACCGTTCGAGCATCTCAGCAGCTACAGAATAGCGGCTTCCCCGAGATGTGCTGAGGGCATATAAGGCATGTTCGGGAGACAGCAATAGTGAGCGGTAAGGGTTTGTGCGAGTGTGTGACAGAGTGACAGAGAGAGAAACAGAGAGAGAGAGAGAGAGCGTGTGAGAGAGAGAGAGCAAGAGACAGCCACAGAGTGAGGGCGCAGCAAATGCCCATATCAGATATATACAGAATGGGAACGGTGTACGGTGAGATATCACCACATTCATTTGCCAGAATAGATTTTCAGAGAGCGGTCCATGGACACACTGGCCAGGGTCTTTGCGTGTGGACCTGAGCACAAACAAACAAGCAAAACTGCAAAAGCACGAGGCAGATCTTCTCATCGCACTGGCGGCCGAACCCCAGCAAAGACCGGTCACTGCGTCTGTGTGCTCCTCGCACATGTGTGGTTATCTTCTTGGCTGCACTTCACTTCTTGAGGGCAGAAAGTCCCTTGTTGTCTTTAATTTTTCGGATGGTAATTAGGGGAAAAAGTCTTAGGGGTTTGGGTTAAGAAGGGGTCTGAATCCGATTTTAGAAGAATGTAGATTCGTGTTGACGCTTTCAATCAAGAAGCCCGAGCGTCCTGTTGAATTTGAACAGTTGGACCCCGCACCTCTGGACTGAAGAGGCGATAAACACTCGTCAGCTCATATTCTAGAATCTATTAACAGTCTTGAAGGTTCGAACCCCCTCACCACCCCCCCCCCTCCTTCCTCCCGTACCCGATGTGAAAAATGTTTGGGAGCGGCGGCTGACTCGCCGCCAGGCGTTCTCGACTTAAAATAAGTTTGTGGCTGAAATTGTAGATCTGGCCATGTGAGTGGCTCGCATACTGGCTTGCTCTATCCTTAAGAAGCTCGACTATCAGGAAGTTCAACCTACCCAGTGCAGCCGCAAGAATGGCATGCTCGGTGAGTGCAGCTGTCGTAGGCTACGCAAGGCAAGGACAAAGGCATAAGCCATGCCTGGCCCAAGCTGGGCCTAGAGACAGCGTGGCTCTCTTGTTTTGTGGTGGAAGGGTGCAAAACATTCAAAGCCTGCGAGGCTGGGCTTCATTTTGTGAGGCCGTGAGCTTAAGGTACGAAGCTGGGCGCGGCAAGACATCTATCTTGAAGCCACAGTTAGAGAGGTCGATCAGACAAACACAGCCGAACGAAAAACAGCAAGCGATTCTACGTTGGAAGGCACAAGTGGTAACGACCATAGATTTTGCTGTTCGTAATCGTTCTGGGCACGGGGTTAGCACTGGCACTGTGCGACGCTCGCCCTGGGAAGCTACTGACACACACACACACACACACACCGGAACCGCCCAGCCTGCTCCCTGACATGCCACCTGGGGATACACTAGCCTTCATGATATCGTAGGACGTCTTCGGACATTTGCCTGCCTGAGGCCCCTTAGACTGTATATTGCAGAGGCCACACTCCGGCAATGTTGCCAGCCTGGCCTGAGGTTTCCTGCCTTGTGCTCGTCTCACAACCTCTGTTAAATTTGTTTCCACAGAAAGAAAGTTTGCGAATGGTTGTTCTTTCTCGAAGCTTTCCCACTCGCATGGATCCCCATGCTTGTCTATTGAGGCCAATCCGTTAAAGTTGCCCACCTGCCTTGCTGCTTGCTGCTGAGGCGGCATTCTCTACGCTGCCAACCTGCTGTTCTGAGGGTCCTGGGCCTGGACTTACATGTGGTACGGACTGCGACCGTTTTTACTTCTTCCACTCGTCCGATAAAACGTGTCGGAGCTCAGTCAGGGAGCTTGGCAATATGTTGTTGGGATTGCTGGGTCAGAGTCCGGGAACTACGCGGTCATGCTGCCCCGGGTCCTTGAAAGCAACAGCCTCTGTCAACGTTGTCTTCGTTGCAAAGTTGAAGACCTCAGCGGCTGCGTACTCTCAGCAGAAGTCAGCTCGACTAGACGTGCCATGCCCACCTGTACGCTCTTGCTGCCCACAGCCAAGTATTGCCTAAGTCCGACAATCTGAGTCGAAGCATGTGCTCTTGAGCCTGCAGTTGTCCAGGCACGCACCCAGTTGCATCAAATGCAACAGAATGAACAGGGCCATCGGCCTGCAGGACCGACAAGTGCAAACAAGCCCATCGAGGAGTGCATGACACTCACAGCTTGACCATCCTTGATAGTCTGGATATTCAGCGGCTTTCTCAGGTCCCACAGCCTCGTCAACCAAAAAGGCAACATGCTTGCATGTCACATACTGCAGAAGCTGGTGGATCTGGTGGTTCGGGACCGAAATTCTCTGAGATTCGCGCTTGACAACACCATCGGTCGAAGCAGATGCCAGGTAATAGCCATTGCCAGAGAAGGAGAGAGTCTGCAGACACTGTGCGCATGTCCGCGCGGAGCACAGGGGACCCATCTGGACTCATACTGTAGGGTTGGATAACACAATGCTACGCTGCGCTGCCCCAGCCTGGACTGCGCCCTCGTGGCCAGTAAGGGTGGCGACTGTCGCCTGCACTTACACAAATACAGAGGATGCGCGAGTATACAGCACAGCAATAAGTAAGAATAAGCAGTTAAACTCTAACAAGACTGAGTAATCGCCACAGGGCGTTGCACTGAAACTGCAACATGCAATGTCCAAAGCCTGCTCCTTCACATCCCACACAACAACCGTCTTGTCCTGCGTTCGACAAGGATGCGCTTTTTAAGTTCTGCGTTCGATGAGTAACTAAGCAAGAACCTGAGCCGAAGCACTCTGAAGCAACGTGACAGTGAGCATATGAGCACGTGTATGACCGTGAGAGTTGAGTGTAGTGCGGAATTTGAATCTGAAAGGGATGGGCAGGAAGTTGCAGAGGCTTCAGAACCAAATCTCAAGTCATCGAAAACCGCGTCAGGAGAAGCAGCCTGTGTGCCGCCGGCAATGATGAGCCCATCTGGATGAAAGCTCATGCAGGGGTATGCAGAGTCCAAGTCCTGACATGACACCAGGACATCACTGCTGCAGCTTAGATACTGGGCAACCCACCTGCATGTGACGTATGCAGCGGCCAGTCGCAAAGTCGTGAATGGCCCAGGACTTGTCCAAGGATGCCGTCAGCAAGTAACTTAGCAGCAGCGATCCAGATTTGAGTATCACCGAAAAGTAGGTCTCGTAGAATGACCGAGCAGTCTCGGACCCAAGCTCACCGAGCGGATGAATTGACAGATCTGTGACTTCCGCGCTATGCTTGCGGATCGTGTGCAGGCAGTTGTACCTGATCCGAAGATTTGTCCGAAAGTCGGAATCGATTCAAAGGGGTGAGGTCGCGCTTCGGAGAAACACTCTGCGAAAAACCGAGAGATCTGCGCGAGCACTGATGAGTAATCACTACCTGCTGTTGACTACACGGCGATCTACGGGGCGCACTGGCTTGACCAGTCTGTAGTGCTGCTGCACGTCCAGACCTTGGCCGTCGCATCCTGCGACGCAGAAGCCACTACGTCCTTGTCGGGGTGCAGCTTCACCGCTGTGACCTGCAACAAGATGTAACAAGATGTAACAGGTATGCACAAGCGTTTGACGCTATCTGCTAAAGAAATGTTGCGGCAGAACATGCAGGCTGATTACGTTCGCGCACCCTCTTGGAGTGGCCAGCCATCTTCTGCACAGGCTTGCTCTTCTGCGCATCGAAAAGAATCACCTCTCAAATCTCTCAAAGCGATTTTGCGAGAAGCTGGTCTAAGCCTGTCATGGCGGAACAAGGATTGCAATGCATTGCGATCTGAGTTTTCACCGGGCACTCACTGAAAGCTGGCCTGGCTGTCCACACCACCAGTCGCAATCCGGTGAGGATGTGCCTTCGAAGCGATTAGCGAAGCAGCCGCGAAGGCTGGGAGAAGGATTCACAGTAACTGACATGAACTGACGGAAATCTGACGTGCAGTGAGGACGGAGTGCACATAACTTCGACCTTGTGAACGTCCACGCAAACCACCCCCGGTGCAGTGGACTGATGGATGGTGGAGAATGAGCCCTTGCATTCCATCCTGGCCAAAAGTGTCTGGCTCGGTATCACACAGCTGTACCGTCGTACAACTTGACAACACTGGCCTCTTGACCTCTTCCAGGGGATTGAGGTCAGGAAAAGTGCGCCTCCAGCGGCTCAAGGCACAACGGCTTGCAAGATACTGCTTGAAGATGCTTGAACAATGCTTGAACAATGCTTGAATCCGCCGGTCAGCTCCTTCTCAGACTGCAAATGCCCTTGAGAGCTGAATGAAGTCGCATCTGGGTTCCAAACTGCTTGCGACTCTTTGCAAGGCTCTTGGCAAGCTCCTTGAAATGGCCCACAGAGGCAGTCTGCGGCATGAGTGATAGCTTGGTGACGGCAGCTGCGCTTTTCTGCATGCAGCGTCTCCTCCATCTTGTTCAGGATCTGTGGAGTAAGGCCAGTCTCGCCCTCGTCAACAGTCAACATCAGTCAACAAGTCATGAAGACAAATCAGGAAAAGACAGGAAAAACACAAGATCAGGTTCTGCCGTGTCCTCGGCAGACCCCACAGGTGCGTTTGCAGGCGTGGAGTTGCTGAGCTGATCTTGCAGCTGCACTACCTGGCAGGATGCTTCCCCACGCGCATCGACACACATTCACATGCATCCATGCGTGCTCTTACATCTCTGCACATCTCTTCTTACAATGCCTGTTAATAGCATCAATGGCGTGCGCGTGCGCACATGCGCAGATGCATGTCAGACACTGTGACACCATGTCGCCAGCCTGCGCCCGCGCTGCATCGCGCTCGCGTAGAAGTCGAGCGATAACACGGCAGGCGGCGTCATGCTGATACAGTGCGTGGGAAAGTTGCTTGCGCGTGGTGTCAAGATTCCTGTCCAGGCGAGCAGTCGGCAGTCAGGACTGTTGCTGGGTTGACTTTCTTCGTGCTTCTGTACTGAGTTCCCATCGTCTTCAGCTCGTATGTCTCTGACATGAGGGCATCCCATTCGCTCTGCAAAAGAGTCCTCGATGTCCGGGAACATGAATTGCGAGCAAAACGTCAGACATTTGTGAGGATGGCGCAGCATGCCCGGGATGGAAGTTGCGGCAGCTGGCCGTGGCTTGACCACCTTGTTGACTTTCATCTCACAAAGGTCTTCCTGACAACAAGCGGAATCACATGCAACCCGGGAGAGAACGGCACTGTTGACCTCTGACATCGTCCTGCGTCAGCTCCTCTTTGGTCACCGGGCATCGTCCGTTCTCCTGCACCTGCTTCTCGATGAGCCGCCGCTCATAGACCTGCCTTCCAGGTGCTGTGTTCCAAGCAGGTCACAAATCCAAAAGCAAGAAAGCAAGCTGTGCATCGACCTGGTCTTTGGAGAGTAAACTGGCTGCTCTGGTGCAGTACCGGAAATTGCACACACCTGCGCGCAGGCCAAGTGCAGGGGCAAATCCAGGCAGGGTCAAAAACTGAACAGTACTCCCGAGATGCTCGCAATTGTTGACATCCTGGTGATGTCAAGTACCTCCACTCGTACACCAAAGGAAGCATAGCCTATTCCTGCTTCCTGTCTAGCGTTTACACTCTTGCGCAGGCCTCCCCGGCTGCAACGCCTCAAGAACACCAAGCAGAACCAAACAATGCTCGTGAGCTCATGTTCCAGAGACCAAGTTCCGGGCCGTCAAAAGGCAGGCCGAACGCCAATGGCCAGGGAGAGTTTACCAAGAAATCTACGCCTATGCCTCATCAAAACTTGCCAACGCTGCAGCAAACATCGAAAGGCACGTGAACTCTAAACCCAAACCCCTAAACCACTCAACCTTGAACCCTTTCATTACATCCCAAAATCCCAAACCAGGGGTAGCCGAGCATCATCGAGCTACGGGCCGATGATGCGCATCTTTGGGTGACCGGGACCAAATAGCGCAGCGTCCGAAATGCACGAAATACACGATCAAGCGGTCACGAGGGTTCGCAGCAGCAGTTGGCTGGGGGCCGCGGGGGTCTGGGGAAGGGTCCGGGGCACACGCGATGGACGAATCTGTGCTCACACAAGCTGTGTTGTGCGCGTATATCTTTGCCATTGCTTTTTCATTGTGGCTTCTGTGTTTTTCCTTGATTCTTACTTAAGCATGTACCAAGAAAGACACACAACAGACATGTACATTGTTACTTCTCCTGTCCTCCTTTGTCACCGCCCCCACCTGCACGCTGCACTCCTGCCTACGAGTAAGTCATTGTCTGCTCTGGGCGTAGCCGGCTGTGGGCGACTAGGAAAGAGCACATCCTGGCACAAGTACAAGGCCGAAACGATTGCGGAATGGTGACACATGATGACCTGGCTAACTGCAAGTCGTTTCTAGTTGTCTCATGGAAGGAGGGAAGGCGTACTGGCCCGTTGCGGTGGGTGACAGAACTATCTCCAAAAACCTACAGTAGCTCTAAATACTCAGCACGTCGTGCCGCCTCCCGCGCTACCCACGCACACAGGCAAAAAACACTGAGTACATAAACGAGACGGTAGAGCAGCGTGCGCATCCCAGACTTGGATCAACTTAGCAAACTTCTCAACCTGTGCAGCGCGCGCGTACATCGGTACACCACCTTTTCGTTCCAAATGATCAAGCAATCCGGAGCAACCTCTTGCCACTGACGCGCAGAGGTGGGAGACTGCGCGAGACAGGTTAGCATTAGCATGCGTGGGCAGCCGGACTCACTTCGACTTCGATGCCTGGCTTGTGGCTCCTTAGGTGCAAGTTGGAGATCCAGAGAATATGAATGCCAAGGACATCGTTGTCATGTTAAAATAACAGATATTGCAAGATCGTGCATGGTCCGGTGCGCGTCTATTGTAAGATCTCTGAAGCTTGTAGGCCATGGACAGGGCCAGCGGGTTGATGACATACCACACAATGCCGACAACCCAGACAGCCACCAAGACGGAACTCGCAATGAGGAACGTGTGCCAGGGCACCTGCAGGCCATCACCTTTGTCCTATGCCAGCGTTCTTCAACTTACGAGGCACGAGGACCGCAAGGCTTCTGCATGATCATTGCTCGGCTTGGCTTTGCTTCTTAGTGCTTGGTGGTCGGTGATGTTTTGGATGCTGTCATCACCACTGAAATATTCTCACCGTGCTGTTGTCACAACGTGGCTTGTAATCCCCGAGTGAAAGCCATTGCCCCACTGGCCTGGCCAGCAGGCTGCCTGGACTCCTCCCGGCGATCGCGACGAGGATGGAAAGTCTGGGCCTCAGTTTGAGCACAAACACCAGGGCACAGCACATGGGTCTATCGCATGCCATCAAATGCTGCGGGATGCCTGTGCTTAGCTACTGCTCAGCACCTGGCAGCCGCTTCAGACGAAATCCACGCATCTGCACCACCACCTTCATGTCGTCGCACCCATTTTAGAGACTACGTTCTGCAAGTGTCTGCAACGCTTAGAATCTCACATGCGGTCAAGCAATCTTAACAAGTGTTGTAGTGCTTTGTCGACTTGTCGCAGGACGTCATCGGGCATGCTACAAGTATAACAAGCGCAAGCGAAAAGATGCAGTACCAAATGACGAAAATAAGCAAACACAATGGGGTTTTTCAGGTAGCTTGCTTCCAAGATTCTGCAAACTCTTGCTGGCTGCTGCTGCATTGCAGCGCACTAGGTCCATGCGTGGGAAGCTTAATTGAACTTCCTTTCTGGATTCCACTTTTATGATCTTCTGTGGATTCGACACTTTGCCGGATAAATTGTGTGCAGAGCACTATGGGCTATAGTGCACTTGCAGCGAAGAAACAACTTCTGGACCAGATGTCCATATATCTGGAGGATTAGCCACAATGAGTCAGAGAACTAGGCAGTCCACAAGAAAATTCGGTCGAACATAACATGAGTCAGAATGCGCAGGCTTAGTGCAAAAACCATCGAAAAAGAGTCCGCTCTAGTCCGAACTGCAGTGGCCTCAATGCGCTTCATATGCTTCATATTACCCGATGTAAACAGTCGCTGGGAGCCCAGCGGGCGTTGACCTCGCGAGCCTCGGCCGGGGCTTCGGCCGGCTCGGCCCTCGCTGCATCCCTCGCAGGGGCCCTCGCGGCCTGGGCACTACAGATGTGCAATGCAAGTGATTGCAACCGTGCTCACAGCCCTTGCTGGCTTGAGAAGGCCAAAGCACGCAAGAAAACAACATATCTCACGTCAAAGGCATGCCTTGCACAATGTGCTGGCGGGCCTCAGGTCTTTCTGCAGCCGCGGAGTTGTCCGCATCCTCCGGCTTGCAAGTCCGTGATGGGGCAAAGCAACAGAGTGCTCTTAGCACGAAGGCTTCTCTTCAAGAAGTCGCTGAGCAATCTGAGGGAACGGCTATGTGAGGTCTGCGGGCAGTGCTGGCAGCTGCATTGGGCCTTCCATGACAAATAGCGTTCGACGCACCATGATTCTACTTGTCATCGTTTTCTTCTAGTTTTGGATCAGTACGCTGAGGCGGGTGCGGCATCAGCCCGCCGGCAAAGCGCGTTAGTCTATTCCTTGAGCAACGCGGGCGGGTGATGCCAGCCATTTGGTTCACGATTTTCCTTGTCCACTCAGAACATGGGGTCTGGACCGACTCCGGCGGGCAAGCCTTGCATCCTCCTGACGGGTAAACAATGCTCGATTTGACCGATGGTAACCGACTGACATCCTCTGACATCTCGCTGGACCTTTAAGGAGTCAATGCGCTGCCGCAGCCTGAGAACACTCATCAGCAAACCCATTGGCAAGATGAAACGGGGGGCTCTTCGGCTCAGGTGTCCAGGCATTTCCAAACGCGCTGCAACGCCATCCAGCTCGGAGACGAACTTATCCTCGACGTCTGGTTGCCAAGACCGAACTTCCGAACTAATTACTCCGAACCTCATGAAAGCTCACAAAACTTCTTACAGCATCGGAAGTTCGCATATTCCAGGCCTGCGGCTCCTGCAGCATTCTTTGACCACTGCGTGGTTGCACGAACCTCCCGCATGCGCTGTTTTGCGGCTGCACTACTGCGCAGGCTATGTTGGAGCCACGGAACCATGCCACTCTTTCAGGGTAGCACCTCGTCTGAAAAGCGAAAAAACACATTGACCAACGAGGCAAGGCATGAATCTTCACACCACTTCTCTGAGGAGTCTGCTCAAGCCGCAGCCAAATGCGATCACCCTCCTCTGGGGACCCGCCTGAACAGTCAAACAACGCCAACCGCGCGTAGCAAAAGTAAGTCCTACGGAGCAGTGTCTGAGATGATCTGATGGCATGACCTTTCACAGGCTGCTTTGGAAGGCCTGCATGGTTTTGAGAAGGCACTCAAGGCAGAACACTGTGACACTCTTCTCCTTCTTCGTCCAGTTGTGCGCGAGGAGCTCTTTGAGGGCACGTGTGCGAACTACGGTGACTTGGTTCTTTTGTCAAGCATTTGCTGAGTGCTAGCTCGGAACAAGCACCAAGCTCTTGCATCATTTTCCACGTGATAGGTGCAGATCGGCGCTACTGGTATCAATACAAAAGCTCGGCATGACCTTTCAACTCCTTTCAACCCCCTCTGTGCGAGTCATTGCCCTTGCCTGAATCAGCGTCACCAGCCACAGTCCAGGACATGTCCTTTTCACTTGAGATCTTCATGGCTCGATAACTGCTCGATACATATATATATATGTATACTACATGTACGTATATGCTCAGTTCACTAAATATATTGTGCCTTTTGGCGGCCCCTCATAATCAGGGTACCCCAAGAAGGGACCACAATTTATGAGAATTCACCATATGTTACCATGTTCAGCCTGAAGATCGCTGCACGAACAAAAACTTGCGTCTGACTCCTGATCCGTGCTGATTCGCTCTTTTGCGGCGTCGTCCTGGTTTTGCATGGCAGATCTCGTAATTCAAAGCTTGGCGGCGTCCGCAGCACTGCGCACCTCGAAGAGTTTGGAGAAGTCTTTACAAAGACCCTCAAATTCGCGCTGAAGGGCGCGTAGTCGCCTGAGCAGCTTAAGATGTTGGTCCTTCCTGGCTGAGAAGCAGATCGGATGAGGCTGTTCTGAAGGCTGTTCTGGCCTCAGCATACTTGGAAGCGCTTCCAAGCTCGCGACCTCAAGGCCACTGCAGGCCACTGCAAGCCACTGCACTGCAAGTATCCGCAAGCCAAACCAGTACCAGCTACTACTACCAGCTACAACAACCACCAGCTACACCATGGCTACTACCAGCACGCTGCTGTAAACATCTGTAAACGCTCGGCCTCCCATGTTTGGAACTCGCGGCGGAGCTGCCCACCCAGTCGGCAGCTTTCCTTGTAAAGGCCCTGGCGAGGTGAAGCCGCAACCGTTGCAGCAAAAGCTTCGTCTTGCTCTTAGACATTCCGCTGCGTAGCGTTTCGAAGCGGCTAAAGCATGCTAAAAAATCTGGGGTTGATGTGTAACGTATCTTCAGCTGGCCTGTCGCAGGTTCAACGGCATCTCCCGTTCCTTTTGCACAGCAGCTCAAAACGT